TGCTGAAATAAAGAACAGTATCAAAATCAAGATGCAGTTACCCCATGGTTTTCTATGACATCTTTTTCTCTGTAAACTTTTGTTAAGGAAATGTTTATAAGAAAGATTGCATATTTTACTATCAACACTTGTTAATAGAGCTGTTCATTCAAAGATATGTTTTCTGAAAATGCTTGCATTGTTGACTCTAGAATAAACTCAAACAGCAAACCACAAGAATAAATCCATTTTAAGGGAAGTATGGGAATATACTGACTTGTTTCCATAATCTGTGTAATCATTAATTCAGACACACTTAACCATGAAATAAAGACATTCAGAGCAAACAATGTGTGCAAGTCTGACTGTATCCTTAGGGCACTGCACACAGTACCCACTTCTTGATGAACAGGCAGCCTGTGCTTTACATCTGCTTAACTGCAAGAAGTACTTTTTCTCAACGTGGCACTTCCCGGTTGTGTTTCCCTTTTACATGGAACAATAAGGAACAATTTATGAAAATTAAGATAGATTATGCTTGGTGGTATTGTGAATATGAAGCGCTGTAATCTAAACTGGAATTTTCAAGCAACAGTTCTGCTACAAAGAAGTTGAAATAAAAAATGACAAAGCCATGTACATAAATGATTCATATTCACACAGAGTAGGCAAGGTACTTTTTAGTGCTTCATTTTACATATTTGAAGTAGTAGTGATGTCTGCCTTGGGAGGACAAAGAAAAAAACAAAAAAAACCCCAAAAAACACAACCCAAACACCCTACAACCCTACCACTGCTACAGTAAGCTGGACTTCTGTTTTGATTTTGTGTAAATATTTGTAAATTCATCAGCTACTGTAAATTGAATTTAAATAAGAAATCTTCAAAGTCTTAGCTTTTCCAATAAGAAGTTGTGACCAGTTATAGACCTGCTGTAGCACAATTTGTGCCTCTCACATAATTGTTTTTGGAGATGAATTAATTGTTAAAGCTACATTTACCACTGTCAAATTCATATTTTCTTTTTTTTTTAAGTTTAGTATTTTGTATGGTGTCTGGTGGAATAAAGTTTATATATGGAAGACACAGCTTATTTTCCTAATTTGTTATTTTGTGCTGCATATTTAAGATATTTCCTATAATAAAGTAGAAAAGGAAATGCCCTGTAAAGATAAGGCCCCTGTTGCAAATCATGGACTTCTATATGACTATTCTGCACTGCTCTGTGTACAGGTAAAAGTTTCATCTATTGCCCTCTCTAATGAGATTGTGAAAACCCTTATAAGTGTGTGAAATAACAAGCATTGTCTCTTCTTGCGCAAACATTTAACTTCAAATTTATTTCAGTTTTTACGGTTTAGAGGCTCTAGAAATGGTAAACTATTTGCCTGCTGTGAGGTTACTAACTACATCCTTTGTCATGATCTAGTCTATGTAAAATTTTGGCTTGCTTCTTAAAACAGCTTCCTTCTGCAATTTAAACAGTCTTTCAGTTGTAATCCGAGACTAGGAATTCACTAAAATGTCCTCCTTCCAGACATACATTTCCCCTTACTGCCCTTCCTCTTTCTAAGATGGTAGACTTGGTCTCAGTGAAGCATTCACTTTGATCTGCTTTATGTGAAATCGAAGCACAAGTTTTTATGACAGGATATTGTCTGGATTTGAAGATACGCTACAAGCCCTAGATGGATTCTGGGGAGGGGGGAGGGCTGCTCTTTTTTTTAGAGAAGGTGCTCTTTGTCTAGAAAATATAAAACTTTCCCAACACAGGATAACCTAGAAGGGGCGCACATGTTCAAACTTCGTGAAAATTTATTCCACGTATCTGGATATGAGGCACAAAACTTTATACATGTCTACTTCTTAGGAGTTTGCATTGCATCACCTAAGGTCAATGTATCTCACACCTTAAATTACCGCTTTATGTTTGAAACCACTTCTTCCTGTTTTAAAGTAGACAGTTAAAAATTTTGCTACCCCCGTGCAACCCCATAAAAACTGACCCACCAACCCAGTGATCTTTTTAATACCAGCCAAGATCTGTGACCACAATGGCCCATGTCTTTCAGAAGAATCCTTTCATGTGTTTTTTTTTTTCCTAGAGTTTACATATTTCTGATAAGCTACATTTATTATCAGAAATATGAAGTCTCGATGGTAGTTTTCCCCAATGTTGTGGGGACAAGCCTGTTTGTTGTGGCTTCTCTAACAACAGAAAACTCCACGTTAATTTACTGTGGTAGCTAAGGAAGGTGCAAGGTGGTGCAACTTGGTTTAGTTTACAGCGAAAGAAGCTAGTGGGTAATCTGGCAAGAGCATGGAAAGTGGCAGTGCTCTCGCATATTAAAAAATAATCTGAGAGGTTTGGAAAACAAATTTCACCAGATGTCATATTATATTATTCTCCTGTCAAGGCAAACAAGAGCAGCAGCACTTTCCATGGAAGTGCCAGACAACTGGAACGACAGCGAGTGAACATAATGATATTTGTTAAATAGTGGGCTGCAACGTTCGTCAGAAAACTTCAGGTAAAATACCACAAAATAAGTGGTTTGGGGAGAGTGAGTCGGAGCTGAACTTTAACTTTGGATTCAGTTCTGCGTGGTCTGAAGTTGTTCAGAAGTTTAAGGACCTGGATTTTCATCTACTCTGGGCAGGTATCCAGAGCAAGAAATCCACTAACGGCTGTCATAAATCTTAGTGTTAAGTTTTCCCCTATCCTCAACTTCAACGTAAAAACCTTGACACACCTATCCCTCGACGCACACCCTAGCAGGAAGGTTTTCTGAGAGGCCTTTGCTAAATGGTGTTTTTCATGCATGGCCAAGGTTTCAGCGTGTGTGCAAGATGCTAACTTCTCTGTGGCTCCTTACTGCCTTGAAATAAAAATGCTTTAGTTCAGCTCTGTTTGCTCTTTTAGGACCAGTTTTGACTACTCATTTTGGCATTGGGTTTGCCTGCCATTCCTCACCTTATATAATGTCAGAAACTACTACTGTCTTGTCTAGGGTTTTAGGAACTTTCTTTTAGTCTTCTAGCAGTGCTTTTAATTAACAGGCTCAGAGATGTACAGCAGG